TTTTCTGAACGCGTTATCTCCCTTCCCTGTAACTAGCTTTACACCTAGCAGTAATCACGTTATGTACGATCACTCCTGTAAAATAAACCACCTCCTCAGCATTGTTTTGAACTGATGCTTAAAACATCTAATCCAGGCATAGTACTTGAACGTGGATTGTTGTAATTGTGTGCCCAATTAATAAACAAACCCTGGCTGTTTTTCTGAATACTCCAGGTGGCTGTGATCCCTTCCAGTGCTAATCTTCTTGTGTTGTATATGTTTCACTGCAGACTGGTGACTTCAGATGTAGCTTTTTACACTGGAAACCTTCAAGCTCTGAAAGGCCTTAACAAATTAGACCTAAACATGGCTGAAATTTGGGAGCAGAAGAGGTGATAATCCACTGGGAGCAGTCACTTGGCTCTGACAACAGACCGACTTTCTTCTAAGCAGCGTGACGACTGTGAGGTGAATACTTAAGACCGGAGTCCAAGAAAGGACACTATTGATAGTCGGGGAAACTAGACTCAGAGTGAGCTGCAGGGAGTGATCTTTTCTGTGTCCTTCAGCAAGAAACAAGTGATCAGCTGTCTGTGCAATGTTTTTTCATTCTCTCTGGAAACAGACTCAGGTTTCTTTGGACCAAATCCAAAAGAACACATAGCTGTAACACAGCTGTAGTTGTCTAGAATGCTCTGTATATCTTTATATTAAAAAGATGCTTTGCATTTCTTCTAGTGCAATGAAATCACATGGTGTCCCACCTTATTTAATGATGGTACAATATAAAAATCTTGCAGTTGGAACTCTGTAGAAAATGTTTTTCTCTATGAAACTATGCTGTTCTAAAATTTATTTTTTTACAGAACTTTATATAAATAAATGTCTTTTGATTGCTTGCGTATAGGATTCAGGGAGCAGTCCTGTTTCAGGGGATTTCTCACAGCTGGGCTCTACTGCCATGTGAAGATAGGATTTTCCAAAAAACTGTTGGTTCACTGAAGCCACTACCAACAGGATGGAGTTGTGAAATTATAATTGTTAGCAGTGACAGCATAACAGTGGGCTTCTGGTGGAATCTGAAGGTAGCAAAAAGGCTGGTGTGGGGATGGCTTCCTGCAGCTACCACACCACAGACTAGGCAGTGCCACTGCAGTTGGGTAAGGACAGGGAGTGTTTCAGGGCTTTGCCAATTGCTCTGCAGTTCTAAAGACACAAAGAGGTGCGTATAAAGACAGAGGAGGACACAGAAAACAGGGCAGGAAGAATTTTACAGTTTTTAGGCTGCTTATGAAAGGTTGCGCCATTAAGGAAGGCGCAACTGAAATTAATTTATTTAAGAGTTTTTTAATACTACCTTTTAAGACTGGATGCTGCTAGTAACTAAGTAAAAGTGCCTGTGTATTTCACCTCACACCTCCTTACCTAACCATAGTCCGAGTGCCTAACCCTGTGACGATTATGTACGATGGAATGGTCTACAGTGCGTGTGTGCCTATGGTTTCTTCAGACAGGCATGCTTATCTGTTAGCATAACAGATGTCATTAATTGTCCGTCAAAATAAAGCTATAAAATCACAGTTGTTTTTAAAGACCAACTTCTTTAATGATACATACCAGTGTTATACTAAGCTTATAAAATAAAGTTGTCTGCATGTAAATACAAGAGAAACATTAAGAAATCAATAGTGATCAGGACAGGGATTTCAATTCCTGTACAAATTTAGAAATGACTCGAGAAGATAAATTAACATACATGGCTGTGACAATATGAACATGCGTGTAGTCAACACAATCCATTTATTGAAAAAAAAAAAAAGAGGGCAGATCAAGGATGCAGATATTAACAGGAGATCCAGTCTTAAATGGGATGTGAAAAAGCAAACACCGCACGTGGATACTGAGGCATTTTTTCTCAAGTATTAGATTCTTTGGGCAAGTTTGGAACATCAACAATTCCCTCTCTCGCAATGCAGAAGTGGAGGTATTGACAGCCTTACCCCAGCATCTTGACGTACAGTTGGGATAGGACATCCCAGGTGTAGTTTGTGGGGCTAGAGAGGGCTATAGGTTGGGATGGTTGTGAGCACATGAAATACAGGGGTTTTAACAGCCCATTTAGCAGTAATGAAACTTTTGGTTTTCAACTGTGCCTGCCACTTACACTTCATAAAAAGTCAGATGAGTAGCTAACCATGTTGTCCCACATGTATTGCTTCACAGCTTTATTTCTGCAGTTACAAGCAATTCAAAACTACTAAATGTTAGAGGCAAGCCTCTTAACTTCTTATCAAAGAAGATCTGTCCATCTTACCTCAAGACAAACAGTATTGCACTTCAAGGTTTATTAACTGAGTTACAGACTCTTTAAGGACTGAAGCATTACTTATGCACATCCATTGCGCTATGTGTCTGCTTAAAAAGATAAGCAAGAGAAATTAATTTTTAAATTAATACTGCAGGGTACTGTGAAGATGACAAAGCATAGGCCCTCTGTGTACTTATATTTCTAATGCTTAAAAATTTCTTCCATTATGAGGCTGGTTTAGCACAGCAGTCTACAGCACTGACCATGCCCCTTCACTGACTCAGTGGTCCAGGATCCGAAGATTGCCAGATACGATTTTGTTCTCTAGTAGAGCTCCAGCTGGGATGTCAATTCTGTCGCCATGATTTGCAATGATGATAACTGTTCCCTGGATTTACAGAAGAGAAAACAAGTGGTTAGAAACTTCATGCTGACTTGGAATGAGCTGGAGTAGGGTTGTTTGGACCCCTGACACCAGTTAAGTGTCAGCTGTAACACAGCCAGATCCTGGATGCATTTAATTGATTGTTTCTGCATAGACTACACCCCCACACCCCCCCCCACACCCCCCGAGATTTTAAACAAGCAATATTGGAAGCACTGTAATTACCAGCATTACCAGCATACTAGATACTATCATCTTATAAGCAGCACTGATGCTACCTTTGAAGATACATGCTTGCTGTAGTGCTCTTATCATGTCTGCTTGCTTTTAGGTGCAAAAATCTTACCCACATCAGTATGTCATGGCACAGCTCACCATTAAAGCTATAAGGCAGACACCCATAAAGAGCTGGAAACACATATATGCGTGTGAGCGTGCAGTCTGATAACAGCCTAAGCTGGTTCAAGTGCTGGTTGTTGTACCCCACCTTGCAGCAATCTGTGTCAGCTAAACTGGCCTAGACTGACATGTTTCAGAACATGACAATGTTCTGCTAGGATTGGCCAGATCCTAAGGAAGAATCTGAGAGAAGAGAAACTTGCTCGGCTCCAACGTTTACTAATAAATCAAGGACCCCAAACTGATAAGAAGTGGCCTGTGGCTATAAAGCCAGCTCTGGAGGTGAGGTGGTACATGCCACGTAGCGCTAAAGGACGAAGATGTAAGCATTGTTTTGAACACAGAGTCATGAGGTCTGTGGCGTTTTCAAGGTTCGTAGACAAGCCTGAGCTCTCCCCGGGACTATATGGAGAGGCAGCTATACCAGTAACACCTTGCACTCTTCATAAGGGTCACTGTTCAGTCTCTTGGCTTCTGCAGTCCTTGGGCCAGTTAGTTAATTCCTAGGAGTGCTTCCATGGACCATGTGTAAAGGCACTGACTTAGGCGGGATCAATTACCAAGGAGCAGAGATCAGTCACGTTTATTGCAGGAGCATCCCAATTACATACTCACCTTTAATGAAACATTCTTCCCAAATGTAACATCACCTGAAACTGTAAGATGATCCAGCTCCAGCATATCTGGAATACTTTCAAACCTCCGCAGGTAATCTTGAACCTGAATTGAAAGAATAGAAACAGTTAAAATCCATCTGTGGATTAAGACAAGTGTGGGCACTTCCTGAAAACTCCTTTCAGAGATCTTTCTGGAATCTACATCTGATATAATAAAAGTTGCTACTTTGAAAGCAACATGGTATTGTCATCCCTGTCAGAGATAACTATGAGAAGCGGCAAGGGCAGTATCCCACCAAAGTTTAGAGAACACAGGCAACCCAATTCACCCTTCCATTTCCTCGACTGGCAGGGTAAAGGAGCACCAAACAGCAGTATGACATTATGCATGCGTGTTAAGTAGTGTGCATTCTAACAGCCTAACAATTCTTTACAAAGAGCAAAAGGGAACGCCCAGATGGGCAGAGGTAGGTAAAGTAAACCTCACTTTTAACTTATTTATTGCTATGGACTGTATTTTTATTCAGAGATTAAAAAAAGTATAATTATAGGAGTTTACCTTTGTGAAAGAACTTCCCAGTTTGACAAGAGGCACTGTTGGAAATTCACGCTTCTCGCTCATCGTTAGAGATCCAGCATTAAGGCTATACAAATTAGACATTACAAGCAAGAGATCTGACGTGGTCTTAACTGGCAGAAAACGACTACGAGGTACGTTTATCCCCAGAGAGTTCTCAAAACTCTTAATAGCAGCACCAACTGCAGTCTCCAACTGGATAACGTTCAAGCCTCCATCCAGAGTCTGGAAGAGAAAACTCACGTAAACACAACCAGCAGGTAACGGCACTTAGAACTAGAGACAAGCGTAAGTCGAAGCTCTGCATTTACCGACATTTATCCTTTTCGAAGGCAGCAGTCTGTTTAGTTACCTAGAAACAAACAGTTCTTTTGAGTCTGTTTCCTCCAAAATCTTCCTAGCTGCTTACCTTTGGGTTAACAATGATCTCCATATCAATAGCGTTTTTCTCTTGCAGCCTTTTAATCGCAGACAGAGCAATCCACAAATTGTTGGTATTGAATATTTTGAATTTTGACACGGACTTGAATTCATCCACATGTGCTTTTGGGACCTGAGCTATCTCCACCAGCCTCAGCTTGTTTTCGTATTGCGTAAGCGTGCCACCCTGCAAGGGTCAAAGAGGAAGTTTTAAGTCCTGTTCATGAGATGCCAGAGAAACCCTCCCCTCACCCCAAACAGACAGCCTGTTTTGTTGGCATTTAAAGTTGAACCTCAGTGAAAACACGTTGCTTGCGTTCAGCTACCAGGTTACTAATTATAGAGTATGTTTAAAGTACAGTCAGAACCAACAAACGATCATGTTTCAGCACTCCAAGACAGTTGATTCTTGTCATGAAAAGTTGTTGAGAACCTTTTGCAAGTGCTGCTGTTGTCAAAAATCACCTTCAGTATTTTGCCAGATTACAGAGCAAAATCTAAGTTAAATCTAATAGTTCTGTATTTGTGGCACTTACTGGAGAAAGAAGTGGTACTTCTGTAACCTGAACTGTATTCTTACAGTGCATTTCTGTGGTTTTATAGGACTAAATCAGAGCTTTCTTAATATCTAATGAATACAGAGAAAATCACATTTCCTCCCCATCCTCATATTTAAAAGAACAGAGGCAAAGTACAGTTACGGGACACATTACTGCATGCTAGAAGTATTCGATACATGTCATAAACATCTGGCAAGTTGTCAAACCCGGACTTTGTACAAAGTTAAGCAGTTAGGGGAGGAGCAGATCGGCAGCCATGCCAAGCCGAGTTGTGCAATGCGCACCTTGACAGCTGGGTAAGTAGCTTAGGCAGTTTTCAGTCAGTAGAGATACAACTGCTGTATCCCACCCCTCAGTACTTTTACCATCCCCAAACCTCTCCCCTGTGTAAGTGACAGTTTGGAAAAGGTATGGAGGTTGTGCACTGCACCCTGCAGAAATCACTATGTTTTCAGTAATCAGGCAAGTCCAGGCTGTCC